ATTCTTGTGCCCAGGGGGAACTGATTCCTTCCCCATGAAGGGAGCCCCCCCCCAGTCCAGAGAGTCTCAAAGTCCGATTTGTTGTTGTTATTGCTGTTGTTTTGAGAGGGTCTCGCTATGCAGTTCAAGCTGGCCTTGAACTCACTAGGTAGCCCAGGCTGGCCTCAAATTTGTGGTGATCCTCCTGCCTCAGCCTCATGGGTGCTGGGATTACAGGCATGAGTCTCCATGCCTAGCCTGTCTCTGAAAGGATGGGTCCAGGGCCTGGAGGGAAGGGTAGGATCTCTTTGGAAGAGATTTCAGGATGAAGCCATCTGCCTGGACATTTGGCTACCAGGCTCTGATTCCTGGAAAAGCAAGAACATATCTGCAAGATCCTCAAGTGGTGTTTGTTGGTCCCTCCTTAAAAGGAGGCCCATCTATTTGGTTCCCGTTTTACTGCCTCAGCTGTGTGTACTTGAGTGTGTTCTTCTCTATGTTATTCTTCATGCCTTTTATATATTTTAAATACTTTCAGTAAGTAGAAAACAAAACCTTTGCCTTCCCCTGACCTGAGAAAGACCCGAGTAAAACACACGAGTCAAAGAGGAAGGAGGTATTAAAAATGGCCTTTTTTGCATAATCTATAGAAAGCTCAGGGGTGCGAGGCTCGGTTTGCATAATGGAATAGAGGAACTGTGTGCAGCTAGATTTGTTGACTGCCAGGGCAACAGTCAGAGACACAGGAGATGCCAAAACCAGGTGCTGGCTGGGGTCCTGCAGTACCGGAGCCTTACTGTTGGAGAAGGGCAGACAGAATCATCCAGCTTGGCCTCCCCACTTAGGAGAGAGAAAAGCTAGGCTCAGCAAATGCAGTCACTCATCCGTTCACCTGCCCTTTTGATTTTCCCCAGGCCAGGCACTGTGCCGGGTGCAGGGGAAACAAATTCGACAGAGACGAGGCTCTTGCCCTCCAGGAATCCACAAAGTAGTGCTGAGCAGATGTTCCAGCAAAGCCTTGCAGGGGGCCCCGTCAGTGCGGTAGAAGGACCGGCCGGTTCATGGGTTGGAAAAGCCAGGAGTCAGGCAGGGTTTCTCAGAGAGGTGTTTGGACGAGTTCTTGACAGGTAGATGAGAATCAGCCAGGCCCCGTGGCAGACGTGGCAGACGTGGAGTATCCGGTGGTGAGCAAAACCGCATGGAAGCATAGTTGTGATTCAAACGCTCCCATACACTATAAGTAAATTAAGTGCTGTGAGGGCTGTTTGTGAGAATATGTGAATGGGGACAGATGCATTAGAGCTCGAGCCAGATCTAAAGAGTGAGGCCTAATTTGTCACAAGAGAGGGATTGGGCATTCAAGACAGAGGGAGCAGCATGTGCAAAGGGCCTGAAGCCAGGAGTGAGCAGGCCCCCATGAAATAGTTGGACAGAGCCTCAGTGGCTGGTGCAAAGTGAAGGCGAGAAGTGAGAGACAGCAGCCAGGCCTCAATAAGGGATTTTTCCTCACTTTATTCTAAGAGCCAAGGGGAGCCACCAAGTTGTTTCAAGCAGAGGAGGGACTTCATCAGATTTGTCATGAAGACTGCTCTGGTTGCTTTGCTGAGTATCTAGCTGTGGTGGGGACAGAGGGACCCTTATGGAGCCCTTGTGATCACCCAGATGAGAGCGGAATTTTCCAGCCGAACAGGGGCCGAGACGGGACAGAGAGAAGCGGGCAGGAGACAGAGGGTGGGAGCTGGACTGGACTCCAGGGCTGGGGGCTGTGAGGTAGGGGAGAAAGGCCTGACCCCCCCCCCCATGGGTAGGTTTTTGTTTGTTCCTCTACAGCTCCCTAAACGCCCATAGCAGGCCTGGCCGCCTCAGGCAGCCCCAGCCATTTCCAGGAGAGACTGGCTTTGGCTGCAGCAGGCTTCTATCCCAGATGGCTCCTCCGCAGTGCCAGGTTAATTGTGCCTCTCAGATCTGAGTGCTCCCCGCCCTCCCCATGACCAAACAGACAGTCTCATGCTGCACTTGTGCAAGCCTGTCTTTTTTCCTTACGTCCCCAAAGTCTTAGCAAGCTCAGCCTGTGCTCCCTTTCCTCCATACTGCAGTGTAAGTCCTAATAAAACCGCTTTCTGGACGGCATGTTTTTGCCTCTGCATGATTTCATTCTTGAGTACAGCACGCTGATTTAGCACACAAAGAGCCGAAGAGACCAAAGGCCATGGTGCTGAAAGTCACCAGCAGATGGAACCAGTGACACTGAAGGTGGCTGTCAGCAGAGAACAAGGGAGAGTGACTCAGAATTGCTGGTCCTGCCATCTGGTGGCTGCTTGCTGTGAGTGGCAAGGAGGCTGCCAATTTAAGAGCTCAAAGGTGCCAGCTTTTGAGGCCCAGGGTTGTTAACACTGAACCACACTTGGACAGTTCATAATTTCTGTCTGAACTGACCAAGAACCCTCAGCGGATTGGTGAGCCGGTCTGAGGTCGGTCCCCGTTAGAGGGCCCAGAAGAAGAGGTGGACAGAACCAGCCCGCATCTTGCTGCCATCCCACATGTGGCTAAGGATGCAGGCTGGCTGGTGGCAGCTGGAATCAGGAGAGTGTGCTTCCTGGGTTTCCAGGGGGACCAGCAGGGCAGACGGAGCCTCCAGATGTGGGAGGAGACTAGAAACTTCAACCTTGACCTTACATGGAGGTAAGTGGGGTAAAAGAACTGTGCCCATATGTGACTGCCTTGCTTCCTTCCCTCTGCTTTCCCTCCCTTTTTTCTGCAGTCTACTCCTTCCCTTCTGCTACCTCTGCCACTGACAGATTGAGGCCAGAGCATCTACTTTAAGCTCAGAATGTGAATTCTCATGAAGACCCAATAGTCACATTTTATGCAAAGAAATGAGTCCTGAATTCATCATCTCATCTTTACCTCCTTTGCATCATACCTCCTCAGGGCTGCAGGGCAGGACATTTGCCTCTGGTCTACCTGAATTCTGTGAATTAATAAAAGAATTAGAAAAAAAAGGTTTAAATACAAACATTTCTAGGCTGAGTATGGTGGTGCACACCTGTAATGCCAGCACACAGGAAGCTGAGGCAGGAGGATCCCTTGGATTTGAGGCCAGCCTGAGTTAGATAGTTCAAGGCCAGCCTGAAATACATAGCATGACCCTGTCTCAAAAAGCCAAAATGGGAAAAAATTCTACAACAACACCCAAATAGATATGGATTCCCTTTAAGCTTTCCCAAGTCAGTCACCATGTGATGCCCCTGCGTGGTGCCACCAGCTTCCTTGAGCCCTGAGTCGTCCATGGAAGTGTTTCCTGGTGTCTCAAATGGGGAAAACAAAAGAGCTGACTGCACCCCAGTTTTTTCCAACCTTTTTTCCCTTCCACTGTTGAATTGATCACGAATGCAATCAATTTAGCATGAATCAGTGCAGCGTCAGAGCCACTGTTTGCAGATGCTGGAACGTGGATGATGGGAAAGGGTTGGGTCACAGAATCGAGAGTTGCTTGATCAAGTGGCAGGAAGGGCAGGGCGAAGCCTAGGGCATAGGCCCATCACACTAGGACAAGGGCCTTAGAAGAACAGGAGGGTTTCCTGGGGGCCACACTGGAGAGGGACAGGAGCAGGTCCCGGAAAGGGAGGAGAGTTGACCAAGAAAAGCAATCGATCAGTGCCTTCCCCTCCCTTGTGAGCACCGAGATTCATGCTGCTTTAGGACCGGGGCCCCTGGTCCCTACCCTGCAGAGCACGGCAGCTCTGCTGTGTCCCCAGTGCTGTCAAGATCTCTTTTATCTGCCCAGTAGGAGAGCACACGTCTGGCTTTCTCATCCCCAAAGTCCTGGGCTGATGGACATTCTTTGCTTAAGAGCAGGAGTTCAGCAGCACAGTGGTATGAGAGACGATTTCAGGCGGCGTCTTGGTGACCCCCGGGATGCTGCCCAGCTGAGACCGCAGTTCATTGCCAGGACACACACCCAGTCTCTACTTCTCCCCACCCCGTCCTTCCCCCTGGCCCGTGCCTGCTTACCCCACCCCGTCTGCATTTCAACTTTCTCATCGCACATGTGACTTTCCCGGAGCCATGTTGTGGTTGTGTGTAACGTCCCCGACGGCTCGCGTGTGAACACCTGCTCTCCGGAGTGGCCTTACTGAGGGACGGTGGGACCTAGTGTGTGTGTGCTGGGGGTTGGTGGGACTTCTGATTATTGAGGGCATGTATTTCAAAGGGGTAGTGGCCCCTGGTCTCTCTCTCTTTCCTCCCTCCCTTCTTCCTTTCCTCGTGCGTGCTAGGCGAGTGCTGTGCCACTGAGCCACGCCCCTGCCTCCTCCCTCTTCTTTCACCTCCCCACCGTGAGGTGAATGGCTTTTACTCTGTCACATGCTCCCCGCAAACCTTTGGAGGCTCAGAAGTCCTGGGGCTAACTGACCATGGACTGAAACCTTCTAAACCATGAATCAGAGTTACCCTTTCTCTTTGTAAGTTGCTTACCTCAGGTGTTTGTTACAGTAACAGAAAGCTGACTAACAGTTCAGGGCTTTAGCATCCTCTCCTGAGCCCCAGCATCCCTTCCCCAAACTACACCTGTTTTTGTTTCCATGTGGGTCTCCTCCCCCAGTTCCCCCTTCCCTAGTGTCCACTCCTACTTGATTTCCTGGGCTCCATCCTCAGTGATGGCCTCTGCACCTGAACCCCATGTGCGTGGACAGCGCCCTAAGCCCCAGGCCAAAGCCTACTGTGTGCCCTCCTGCCCACGAGACTCCCAGGTGCTGTGACCTCACTTCCCTCTCCTCTCCCCTGTGCAGGCCTTGGGGTGTGGACCCCACTCCCACCGCTGCCGGCACCGTCCTGGCTGCCTGTGTGCTCTGCTGCACACAGCCCTCCCTGGGCCGGTTAGCCCTGCTGACCACACCTTCCCTTTTGCTCTGACTTAGGTACTCGTTTCCTTCACATTTCGAGATTGGCAGTAATAAGAGGGGATGGTAACGGGCACGGGGTGTAGCTGGGTAGCAGGAGTAACTTCTGATGTTCTCCAGATCCTTAGAGCAACTGTGGTTGACAGCAGTTCATCGAATATTTCAAAACAGCTGGCAGAGAGAATCTCAAATGTTTCCAACACAAAGAAATGATAAATGTCCAAGGGGAGAGATATGCCGATTACCCCAATCAAATCATCATATGCTGCAGGTAGGTGTGTTTTAAAATGTCACACTGTACCCAGCACATACACGTGTACGTGCACAAGCACTCTATGCTGGCTACAGTTTTTCATTTAAAAAGTGGGTCAGTTTTAAAGATGGTGCAGATAACAGAATAGATGTCTCACAGCTGCAGCAGAATGTGACGATGGCATGCGGGTGTGACCACGACTTAGGTAGAAAACTGTCAACTCAGATAGAAAACGGCCAGCAACTCATCTGTCGGCATGGCCCGGCTCTGCCATGAATCAGGTAACCACAGCCCGGGACTCCGGCTACAACTCCTTCTCATCTCCCGCCAGCCTCAGCAGCACAGGCTGGGGCTCCGTCTCCCCTGTGTGCCCGGGGCCAAGTGCCACGCGGAGTGTCCCAGACACTCATTCCCTTTGGCAGCTCCATGGCGGGCGGCACCACTCGTGGCCAGTGGTTTGGGTAAAATGAGAGCATCACAGCGTGTGGGGTCCAGAGGCTGCTGCACTGAGCGGTGGGAGGAGGCAGGATGGCGGGGCCGTGATTCCCGTCCACTCAGTTATTTATTCAGAGAGTGCTGCTGGGTCCTGACTGTGCAGCACTGCTCCGAGCCCAAGCCCAGAATGGTGAACATGCTGACAAGGTCCGAACCTCTCCGAGTTTATGACTGTGGACAAGATAACACCATGTAGGATATCCTGTAAGGTAGCCAGCCAGAGAGTGAGTAATACGGGAGTTAGGGAAGGCCTGGCTGAGGAAGAGACGTTGGGCAGCAGCGAGGAACCAAGTTACATAGGTATCTGGACCAAGAGCATCCTGGGCCCCAAAAGTAGCAAGGGCAAAGGCCCTGGGGTAGCAACAGGCTAGGTGTGTTTGAGGTTCAGTGGAGCAGCTGGTGCAGCCAGAGTAGAGACTGAGAGGGAGAAGTGGAGCTCTGGCAGCAGCAGGGGCTGGAGGGTGTGGGGCCTATGGGGCTGGTAAGGGTCCAGGCTCTGAGGGACACCTGTAGCCCTGGGTTTGTGCAGAGGAGTGATGTGGGGAAGATCTCCCTGGCTACCTTCTGGGAGTCAACAGGTGAGCAGTTAGGAGGCTGCCTCAGTTTCCCAGAGAAGGGTGAGGAGACTCATGGGCTTGTGGCGAGGCAGAGCTGCCTGCTGTGGGTCCCCATCCGTGAGAAAGGGGGGTTCCTTTCTGCAGATGGAATTCAGCACCAGTGCTCTGGGAGAGAGGACTGTCTCGGTGGCTCACAAAGGCTGCTCTGGGCATCTGCTGTTCCCTCTGCCTAGCACACTCCTCCCCTCCTTTCTTATCTGCTTCACCCAGCACATCACTGGGGTCAGGTTCAACGTCACCACCCCAGCGGTTGCTGCACACCTTCCAGATCCCCCTTGCTCTGGTGTCCGGGGTTGCTTTCCTGGGCTCTGCTCTTTCTTTCACTTTGCCACTTAAAGCGATCGACGTCACTTAATGGAACGATTCCTTCTTTGGTGCTCCTTTCCCCAAAGACCACAGGCTCCAGGAGAGCAGGGGCCTGACTGTGCTGTATCATCCCCGTCCTCAGCCCCCAGCAGAGCTTCCTGATAACTTCGCTAGCCCTCCACGCATCAGAGAAAAGGCCTTCAGAGAAGGAGCAAGCAAACGTTCTGACCACAGTGTGAATGGCTGCCAAGACAGTGTTAGTAGGAGCAGTCACGTTTTGATTGTAATAAATATCTTAAGTCGTAGGCACAAGGCTCTGAGAATAGCATTTCAATCCAGACATGAGAGGGGACATTGGTTTCTTGGAAGGTGCTTGTATGAAGAGAGATTCTTGTGTTCTTGGGATCATGCTCTATGTCCATCAGGTGTCTCACAGAAGTCCTTCATTTACTGCACTCAGGATACGTGATACCAACGCTTTCGCACAAGGGGCATTCGAACTGATTATTTAAAAATTGCTAGGCTTCCACACTTTAAAAAATTATCATCACATAACGTACCTAACACGCATCTTCATCCTGTCCCCGGACTCACTGTGCCCCCTCCTGCCGCTCCCTCCTGCTCACCACCCATGATGTGTGCCAGGCTTGATGGGTCACAGTGGCTCCCGAGTCCGGGGTTCTGCTTCAGGTCAACAAGTCTTACTCCTGGCAGGCGTGAGCACCCCTGGCTCACTAAATGTGACAGCTGAAGGGTCCAGTGTTGTGTGCCCCGGACCCTGGTTTCCACAGCAGCTGTCTCTTGTTCTTGGGGGATTTGCTGTGTTGGCTGATTGTGAGTCTTTAGCTGGGGGGGGGGGGTTCTGTGAAGGATTTCAGGGGTCTGTAAACCCCAGGAATCACAGAACCCAAATTTGGTGAGTATGCTTGTATTTTGTAAAGGGGAGAGAGGTCCATAGTTTTCAGCAGATCTTTAAAGCAGCCTGGCAGCCCCCAAGTGTATTACTGTCGTATATGCTAATGTATATATTTTAGGTCAAAAGATCTGCTTTGGGACATGTCCCTTGCCCTCTGTCCTCAGTCTACATATGCCATGTTTATTTTGTCACCTGGGCAACCCGTTTACATAGTACATAATCAAATGTGGGCTTCCCGATACAAATTATACACTTTGGAAGCAAGCTTGGAGGACGAAGAAGTTACTAGATTAATTTTGAGCAGAGTGAAGCACATTTTTGGTGAAACCATCCTTGCTTGTGGGAGGTAGCACTTTATTTTCCTTCTCTCAACATCAAGATTCCAAGAACCAGCTTACAGGGAAAATGTAACCTCTGGCTTCCACATTTTGTGTGTCTTGGGCTTCAGAAAAGACAGGAGGACCCAGAAATTGCTGTGGGAAGTACAGGGTGTGGGAACTACTCTGCTTATCTGCTCATCTATCAGATCTGTATTTCAGTTAAGACTGAAATCACTGGGCAGCCACGTTTCGGCTTGAGGTAACCCCTCTCCGCTCTGCTTAAAGGTCAGGAGAGCCAGTCTGCTGACACAGGGCCTTCTCCCCTGCCAGCCTGCACACACTGACTCTTTAGTCATTATAACCGAATGAGTAGGCTACCAAAAAATAAGTTTCGATTGCAGGGAAGCAGGGAGGCAAGGAAACGTGGTGGAGTAGAAAGACTTTGTCAGAGTCCAAAGATCAGGATTCAAGTTGGTCAAGTGTGGGGAGCGATGCGCTGTAGATCCCGATGGCCGGGCCTAACTGGCCTCCTTCCACGGAGGGCATGGTGGAAGAGGACTATCTTCCTTCCTACCCATTCACCTGAGAAACGTCAGGCTTTATTCCCTGCAGACCCTAGCCTTCTCCCTGTTCCAACCAGGAATCTCCTTTCAGGTTCCTTATCTACACTACAAATGAAGATGCTGGAGATGCAGGCCAAGCTCCTTGTCTCATCAGGACAAAGAGTTTCCACCTGGCCTCAGCTATGTAAACTCTACTGTCTTTGTCTTCTCTGTCTTATTCTTCAAGGTTCTTATCTCTCACCATCATTTCTCACCTCAGCCACCGGGCCGGCCGAGGTAGGCCGGTGGTGTGTTTGTGTAAGACCTACCCAGCGGATTAGTAAGACTCTGGATGTCTTTGTGGGTGATTGACAGGTAGGCCGCACACTGAACAGGGAAGACCCAACCTGGATAAGGGTGGCACTGACCAATATGCTTGAAACGTGGATGGAATGAAAAGCGAAAAGAAAGAAATCTTCCTTTTTTTCTTCAGAGGAGCTCCAGTCTTTACAGTTACCTTTGGATAGTCATCTTCATTTCCTGCAGGCTTCTACTGTAGACCTTTCAGCCTTTCAACATAGACCCTTCAACTTTCTGACCTGAACTCACGCCTGACTTTGCAGTAAGCTGCAGGCCTTCAACCTTCAACTGGATCCTGTAGTCCTCCAATGAACATGGGCTCCATTGACAGTTGGACTCCAGGTCATGTGTATTATGCTCTGGCAGAAAATTTGTCTGAATTTTGCTCATGTCCTGAGACTCTGTGAGAGCCTGAGGTTAAGGGTGGCAAGCTAATTAATGTGGCGGAGAAAAGTTCAAGGCACCCCAACGGCCACGTTGTAGCATGGTTACTACTTGCTACTTTTAGCAAGATCTGCTGTGAGAAACAGAAGCAAAGAGTCAAAAAATTTTTCACTTTTTAAACCAGGAATGGTGGCTCATACCTATAAACCCAGCACTCGGGAGGCTGAGGCAGGAGGATTGCTTTGAGTTCAAGGCTAGCCTGGGCTATGTGGCAAGACTCTGTTTCAAAACAAACAAAAAACCCCCAAACAAACAAACAAAACAACCAACATTTTTTTCAGTGTTTCCAGAAAGGAAGTGCCCACAAAGATAGCTTAGAGGAGGGCTGTTGCTGAAAAGATTAGCATTACAAAGAAGTCAAATATTTTGGATCCAGACACTGAGAAAAAAGGTTTAAGGGTATGTTAAGAATCAGCAAGACCGCCTCCTCTCTTTACCAGCTCAAGGATGCAAGACTGCTTTGAAAAGGGAGCCCCAGGCCTCCTGCTCAATAATGGCTTCCTGGAGTTCCCTGGGATTCACAATTCTCAGTCATTCGGGAACTTGCAGGCTTCTGCAGCCCCGATGCATGGCTCCTACTCGAGCTGGCAGCAGACTTTGGCATCATCCACATGGCCCTGGTCTTATGGATATGCAGAATGCAAAAGTTATGAAGTGAGGAAGGCTTCCTTCCACCCAGATCTTAGAAGAAGGCCCAACAAGCCAAGCAGTGTGCCTGTGAAAGGGCTGTGAGTAAAGCTGTGAGGGTGAAGTCCAGGTACAGTGGAGACCCCAGGAAGTTGCAGAAGCCAAGAAAATGGAACATCTGAGGAATGCTGTAAGGAGTGAACAAAGCCAGATCAGGAGAGAGAGAGAGAGAGAGAGAGAGAGAGAGAGAGAGAGCGAGCGAGCAGGAGAGAGAGAGACCACAAGGGCCACAATCACCAGCAATGCCACAGGGGAGAACCCAAGCCCTTTGGGGTTTACATCTTGCTACAACTTGCTCGAGGTGCTTGCATTGGCCCCACTGGTTTCTGTT